CATTTTTTTCCCCGTGCCGGGTTGAATGTTCTGGAAAAGGTAAGTGAGCAAGTGCAAAATAAGGCTCATGGATTCATTCATTTTCATCCTTTAACAAGGCAAGACTGCAGCCACATTCATTTCGTACAGAAATTAAGAGACTTGCAATGAAAATAAAATGCATATATATGAACATCCTCGAGTCTTTCAGTTTTGGAGTGGCCTCCAAAGAAGGAATGGTAGTAAACCAGAGCTATATTTATTGAAACATGGAGGAGGGGAGCCGGCCTGTGCCGCCTGGTCTAACTGATGAGCTGCTGTTGCTCAGATTGCTGAAGAAGCTCCTTGGTGCGTCTGGGAGAAGAGTTTTAGAATACATAATGCATCAAAGTTTGCCGAGTACTGGGCTGTGGAGCAGCATACCGGTCAGAGTGTCCATGCAGACCCTTGTCCAAATCAGAAAGCACCTGAAGAACGTGGGCAGTTGTAATGAATCATGTTGTCATAAGGATGGAGCTTACAGAGGAGACAGATGGTACCAAAATGCAAACCAGTGAAGACAGTGTGAGATTGAAAAGTGTTCTGGGAAACATCGAGTCTCGTCATTCACTTGGAGTTTACTTTTACACTACCCACAAAACAATATTGGTTCAAAGAGGATCTTAGAAGCTGAGTGATGAGTTTATGGTATCAGTTTAGCCCCCAAATTTGTCAGGTCTCAATCCAGTTGAGCACTTGTAGATTGTGCTGGACTAAAAAGTCTAATCCTGAGCAATATTTCAGCAACCCGTCAGTGGGTCACCAAATATAGACATGCTGGTTTTCTGAGTGAAATGCTTCACTTTTACTAACAGCAAAATGTGTTTCATTAATAGGAGTGATTTATCAGTGCGAGTGGGACACGAACACATGAAAGCTATTAATGCATCCGGGCAACAATGTCAAAAGTCAAACTGACCGCCACCTTCGGCACTCCAGAACAATATCCCTGTGAGCCACTGCAGATAATAAAGGCTTCACTGAATCTGTGAGTATTTAATAGGGAGAGTTCAGACCGGTGATTAGAGAATGCCACAGAATGGCTAGTAGCTGCAGAGTTCTCTGGCAGGTGTTTATGGCCGTGCACGCATGCGGCGCACTATGCTAAACATGTCCACTCATCTCCGGTGTCACCGGGAGCCTCGGGCTCACAACATGACATTAATAGTTTGACAGGCTTTGCTGCTCTTCTCACTTCCCCCCCCGCCCTCCATCTGCTGCTCTTATGCTCCCTTTCTTGGTTGTACGCTCTGATTCGTCCCCGATTGGTACAAATGTGTTCAAGGATTTGTCAGGAATAAACTTCATAGCAACTAAGCTTTTAGAAAGTCCATGTTTGGTTTTCCTGTTTTAATTTTTAAGAGATTGGAAAGAACAGCTGAGTCTGTCTCCATGTTGCAGACGGAGCATTCAGAGAAATGGACGTCTTACCCTTTTTATTGCTTTTATATAAATCATTTGTAGCAACATTTTATTTGACGATGACAAAAAAATTAATGTCAAAGTGAGATATGATTTCTAAAAACTAATGAACATAAAAATATTTAATATAAAAGAAATGATTGCATAAATATTCATCCCCTTTACTTTCAATTTAACCGAGGTCCAGCCAATTGGTGTTAGTAGTCCAACAATGAAGATCGCATGAGTGCAGTGTCAGTGTCTCCAGTGTCCGAAAAGTCCAGTCACTGGTTAATCAGTATTACTGGGTAATATTAGAGCACGGAGACAAAAAAAAAAAAACACTCCAAGTAAATCAGAGAAAATGTTATTGAATCAGCTCAGGTTTACTCCCAGGTATAGGCATCAAAGTCAAGTCCAAAGTTATGACATCCAAGTCCTTATTTGAGTCCACACCTCTGCTATCTAACACTACATGTCACATGCAGCATTCTTGTGACCTCCCACAAAAAGCTGCTTCTATGTTGCAAAAAGGGATTCAAAAGGTTTAAAGACAGGCTCAAACGTTGGATCTAACTAAACAAATTCCAAGTTGGTCAAAGTTAATTTCCATTCACTCCATCACACTTTAAACAATACCCCCCCTTTCCAAAAAAAGAAGCTTTAATTAAAAAGTTCAACCATTCAAACATCTTGTTCTATTTTGCAGTAACTTGCATCAACAGAAAAATCTCAAGCAGGAGTAAATTTCAGCCTCTTAATTTTTCTCCATGCTTGAAAACACACTTTTATAAGAAGTAAATGACAACACTGTTGATCTGGAAGATTCTGTATGCTTTCTGTATTCTCAGAAAGCAGGGATCACTAACACAATCAAAGTAGTAGACCACCTTTTTCATGCTTTTGTAACATTTCCCCATAACTTTGTTTCCTAACATATAAAGCTCAGACACCATAAAACAAGCGTTCCTGTGTTTATTAAGCAAATACAACTTTTGTGAGCATGTGAAAAGTGTGTCTGTATAATAAAACAATAAAACAATAAAACATATAGAGCATACGTTTTTAAAAAAAATCTATACACTGATTATCAGAATTTTTGTTTTAAATCTGTAATTATTTAATCACTTTAAATATATGATTTGGAAGTATCTCTTGTCAAAAACTGCACAACAGAAAAAAAAAGGCAAAACATTTTACATACTGCTTTTGGAAATACATATGAGACCTTAAATATGCAGTCAAAATTCGGACACTGATTACATGAAATGATTAAAAAAAAACACCTAAACATAGAATCAAACCCACCAATAACAGAGAGAGAGAGAGAAACAGACAGATGGATGGAAGTGGTAACATGACATCATTAGGCTTTCAGCTGTTGAATGAAGCTGTAATTTTAGGTCTTCATGTATATTATATCCTCTTCACAGAGGAAAGGTAACATAAGCTTACAATCTTCACCACTCCATTCGAAGATTTTAGCATCAATCACACCACAGTGACGGAACAAAGCCATCTCAGGCTGTTTTCCATTCTCCCAGTTCTTATAGTTTGCAATTCGGTCACTCCAAATCCAGAACCCAAAGACAGAACTCTGCCTCAGACCGATCCACAAATGCTTCAAAGAACCAGTGACAGTGAAATTTAGCCACTGTCCAACAGCTTTCTGGTCCTCCTCATCCTCAATCCATAGAAAGCGTGAATGTCTGGCTTCACAGTAATTCAGGGCGTCCTCCCAAGTTTTGGGCTCCTTGATTACTATGATTCTCACATTGCCTGAAAATTAAGACAAAAAACACAAATAAGACTCACAGAAAGTGAAAGGCTCGCCTAGATCATCAACGCAATTCTTTTAATCCTTTGCTGCATGCTAATCTTTAGCTTGTCTATAAATTGTGCTGACAGTGTCTGGAAATAGGATGATGCATTTTTAGCATTTGGGATTGATTATTTGTGTATTTGATTAAAACTCCAAATTATGACATGTTAAACTTTACTTTACTGGATCTAATTGAGCCTAGAAGGTAAATTTATGTCACACTATTTCTCAATAACATAGCACTGATATTCTCTTGGAACTTTACTGCTTCGCTTATTAATGTCTAAGATGAATGTGCATATTTGTTCTAATTCTGCATTACAACATTTCTAAATTTTCTCAATAACAATATTTGCCAGTAAATGTATTAAATTTATAGCTAACCTTTATAACAAATGATTGGTTTTACATTACTGCACCCAAGTGGAATCCAATTAAGCTCATTCCCATTGTTATGTAAAGAGACACATGTGTCAGAACTATCACTAATAGTTCTGAATGTTGAACAACTTTTGTCTGCCCATTCATATTTGTCATGCTGAAACCCGATCCAAACGTTTTTTCCTCGACTTTTTTGTCGCAGGTCTTCATTTTGCTGTTCGTCCATGATACTCGCTAAATTGTTGAAATGTGTTCTGCAGTGTTGCCTTGCCTGGCACCAGTTTCTCTCAACATCGTCTACAAGGACGAAATTTTCACCTGGTAAAGAAAAAACAAAAAGAAAGTAGATTCAAGTGAGCACGTGTGTAAATTTACACTTCAAAATGATAAACTTGATTGAATAGAACTGAACTGTTAAATCCATAAGAAGATAAATATTGACTTAGGGTTATTGGGTTTCACCAAAATAACACTGACCAGTGTTTTTAAGTGCAGGATTGGCACTTTAAAATTTAACTCCTTTGCGTATCAGTACATTTTTTCCAGCTTTCAGTGTGTACAGGAGCTTATCTGTGTTTTCCAAGTCTTCATTATATGCAACATAAAGTGGGTTAACTCTGAAGGACAACTTTTTTCCCTGGAAGAAGCAACTCTCACTCACTACTATTTACATTTTTTTTAAATTGGTGTCTTGTTAGATGATAGCCCTAATAATAAGAAATATATTTTATAACAGGAAATGAACAGTAATAGGTTTATTGAAATAGCAAGAGTAAAATGTACGCATCACTTCTTTGTTTTTAAGGAGCTGATATGGATGTTATATTTATGTTACTTTTTATGTCCATGTGTGGTGCACCTAAAAATGCCACCACAGTATTTAGTTTTTTTTTTTTAATCATTTGCAGTTCGGCATGTTGATCTGTCTGTATTTATAGTGCTTTCCTGAGGTGGGGACAGGAGCGGTATTATCGACTATAACTGTCTCAATAATTTCAGGTGATACATTAAGAGATTCAAAGTGGTTTCAAAGGGATTGTCAAGTTTACTTTGTAAAAGTGCAAAGAATAATATTCATTGTTTGATTGTTGAGTTACCATAGTTACAGAGGTTGAGCTCAGTTTGGTTACTCATACAAGACAGCAAAAAAAACAACAAAAAAAACAAACGCAATCTGGATGTCAACAGCAGCGCTGGTCATCATTGCTGACTCCTTGTTTATTTTCTCTTCAGATTGTGTCAACTCTGTTACAGCAGTTCTGACACCCAGGACTTGTAACACATGTTACCGCCATGATGATTGACGTGGCTCAAGTGGATCTGACTTAGAACCAGCTTTTCTTTTTTTTATTTTACTTTTATTAAAGCTACTTATGTATTGATTAATATGATAAAAATTAATTTTATCATATTAAAGGGGAGTACCTGCATTAGTTAAAGCACTAATTATTACTATGTTATCCCTCAACATTTATCTTCCTTTAACTTTATTAGTAATTTTTTTTTCAGAAAAAAGGAAAATGCAGGCTTATACTTACCACTTTTACACATGAAAGCTTTTTCTTCTGAACATTTAACACCCTTCCATGAACCGTTTTCAAAAGCTTCACAGAGTTGATCTACATCACTAATGTTTACTGTTGACTTGGTAAAGTTGACAATTTCTCCATTTGACCAAAAGAGAGTATAATTATCCTTCTTCTTGAGGCCAATCCAAAACCCAGGTCCGGGGTTAGTGTAATTAAATATCATCCTCTCCTCCTCTTCATCATGCAGACTCAGTAATGATCCTCCCTCTTCAACACAGTATTGTTTTGCGTCAGTCCAGTTCAGTCTCTCTTCTGGATAATCATTAAAGTATCGCAGACGGTATGCAGCTAATGAAAACTGCAAAATTCCTGCAAAAAGACAATAATGTACTATAAATAAGTTTGTTTACAGGAGCTTCACTTCTATAAGATGAAATGTAAGGTATATTCTATGTTTCTTGTGCAAAGTTAATTGGTTTGTGCACATTTTCACCGCGAGGCGGTTCTTACAGGGAAAGCGACTAAAATTACTGCAGGCAAAATTTATAATTAATCCGACAAAAAAAAAAAAATATGTAAGATAAAATATTTGTGCTCAAACACAAACGTGATTTAAATTAAGACAAATAAAACAATGCTTACCTGAACACAGAACGAGGAACAAAACTTTCATCATTGTCTGCAGCTCAACAATTCTTCTGCACAAACAAACTAGAGAAAAAGGTGAAAAGAAAAACCTTTCAAATGAATACAGTAAATAATACTGTTCCCATCATCTACATGCTGCATATAAGAGGGTGTAACAGCCTAATATATCAGAAACAAGTACAAATTATTTAACAGTAAGTAAGAATAAGTTCAGGTCTTACTTGCTGAAGCATCTGGTGCAGAGTGCACTTTCCATTTCGTGTGGATCAGTTTAATATTCGGAAACAGAGTTTACACATTCAAAAACAAAGACGTCCTGAAATTAATGAATAACAAGATGGTAAAGTGCAGCCAAGTCATAGTCAAATCAGACCAAAATGGAGACCGCATCTTTCTGAGGGAATGACTCGCTCATGACGTTTTTTTATTCTCTCTCTCCAGTTTATGAATCTATTGAAAATTTTCAGCAACTTATTAAAATGTCACCAACTGGTTTGGTTTTGGAAGATGATGGTTTTACAGTTTTTAGAGAATTGATTGTAAACTAACGGGTTACTCTTAACTTTCCTAGCATCAGGATTAAAACCTTAATTTTTTTGCTTGAACTTAAGAAGAATGTTTCCTTCCCTGACATGTCCTTTTTTTTTTTTTTTGTTTGTTTGTTTGTTTTTGTCAATCCGAACTGCATTTCCTAGAAAATGCATTCTCTTTAATGACATAAACAAATACTGGACTAGAACTCGTGAAAGGTATCAAAAACGAAAATGAACTTTGTCGAGAGTCATCATCAATAAATTAACTTGAAAGTTAAATAAACATAATAGAAAACTATAATAGGTGGGAATATTAGGTGGAAACAAAAACCAAGTAAATGTCAGTTCTGATAACACTTTCTTTATTTTTGCATTAGGCCTATATATATATATATATATATATATATATATATATATATATATATATATATATATAATCAATATTCAGTTTATCTCTCTTCTGCAACAAGGTAGTTAATGTTTCATCAGAGTCGCTACGTAATGAAAGCTGTATTGTTTGTTATTCAAACTTCAGGACCTGAATTGGTGCCATCAGGCTCATGCTCCAGATATGGATGAATAGTCCTGTTTATGAGAAGATTAAATGCAAAATGGTCTAAACTTTGGTTTTGGTAAAGAAGTGGATCTCGCTGAGGGATTTTAAATTTTAAAGTCAAAATAGTCAACCATTTTACTAATATGATTGACTATTTTGAATTCTCCAAAACAATATGTAGCTTTGAGAAAACGTTGATTTGGTTTAAAATAAAATGTCAAATCTCGCAGCGAAGTTTGATGTTGCTCGCCACCTACATGCATCATCAATTTTGAATTTCAAAACAGATCTTTGTTCATGCAAATCTCTCTAACCCTCGCCATTTTATCACTACCTTCATAAAAAGCTGCTCTGTTCGTCATATGCCACAAAAAAAAAAAAAAAAGCAGAAGTATGCATGGACCCGTGGAACAGTGTTGTATATTCTTTGAAGCCCCCTGCTATAGTCTATGAAACATGGAAAACTACTGTAACAAGGAAAGCTCTTTATTGTTACAGTGAATTATTGTCCCTGTCAACAAGGAAAATATTTCTATTCATCTTTAATGCCATGTTACTCAAAGAGCAGAAAAGAAAAACCCAGTGAAATCAAATCTCTCAAAATTTCTGTGCACTTAACACTTTTTCTTTTGTTGCACTTGGAAAAAGTGCAACAATTGTTCCTACTGCTGCTTTAGTTTAGCTACATACATTGCCTCAGTGAGAAGCTGATAACTAACAGGCAGTGTGATACTTAGGAAGATTTCAGTTTGAAGTTGTGGGGAAGATAACAAAAAAGCTGTACATTGAACAACTTGTCCAACTTGATTTATATTACATGCCTTAGGGTACAGACAGTCGTGATAATTTCAAAAAGAACGCGGTTTATCAACCCAATAAAATAATACAAAAAAAAAAAAAAGTTAAAAGTTGAGTCGCAGTGACTCAGCACTTTACAATCTTTGGCAGATATTTCAGTTCCACTGTGAAACTGACTCCTGTGCAGTTTCACACTGATATATGTATATGTATATATATATATATATATATATATATATATATATATATATATTTTTTTTTTTTATTTTATCTTTTTTTTTCCTTCCAGGGCAGACACCTGATTATAACTAATGATAGAGTGTGAAAGCATTATTCCTGCAAGGCGCTATAGCTCAAAATTATACTCGAGTAATCAAATTTGTACGTGGCCACAGCAGATTGTTGTTGCTGTGTGTGATTTTCTGTTCTCTTCAAGTGTGCATTATGTTTAAGAAATGCTTCAGTCCAGATTCGGACGCCGCGCTCTGCTCCCAAACTGCGTTTGTGTAGGTGTGAGGCCACAGTGACCCCAGGTATTGATGGAATTGTGAGGAAAGCTGTTAGATAAAGGGGCATGTCAACTTGGTTCAACAGCAGGTGAAGCCATTTTATCCACATAAGTGCTGCTAGATATTTGACCAATCCTGTGGCTTGTTTTTTAAGAGTCTGACAGCGTGCGTGCGTGTGTGTGTGTGTGTTTGTAGGAGGCAGCTGCAAGCTCCTGATTGCTAGCAAAGATTTTCTGGCACTGGAACAGGAAGCAATTTAAGTGCATGTTGAGTACTTGACGACTAAACCCCACCGAGACTTCAAGAAAACGTTTGCGTAACAATAAAAAAAAAATAAAAATTGCACTTTAGCAAAGCTGCACAGGATATGCACTAAAAGTCAATGTTTTGCGGTTACCTAATGATGAAGTCCTGTGTTGTTTACCCCACGTACACATCTGAATTATTGAACAACAAATGAGGAGGGACCCGAAGGTGGAACATTGACTGTCAGCTGAAAACAGCCCTCTGCTTAATCTCTGGAGAATTAAGTGCTGTGTTTACAAAACGGTTCATTTTGAGAATTTCTTCAGAGGATGCTTCAGGAATAAGTGAAGTTAAACGTTACAAATACCACTTGCAAATATAAAGTCGAGAGCCTGTGGAGTACCGGAGCCAGCAAATATACCAGACATAACTGGAAAAAAAAAAAAAAAAAAAAATAAAATTAAATAAATACTGGACCAAAAAGTCAGCCTGCTTTCTGAGCTTTCTTTTTGCAAATCAGTAAGCAGCAGATACTTGTGTGGTGTAATATTTGAACACTCAAAACTTACAAGATGTCTGTTTAATTCTTATTCTTAACAACTCTTATTGGACTGAAGAGTTAAGTTCAACTTCCTACAATTTTGAGATGCAGAAGGGAAAATTTCACAGAGAGCGTAAACTTTGAAAAACGACAGTTGTAGGAAAACTGAGGTTTCAGATCAACATCAAGCAAGGAATACTTGATTGACACGTGGCTGATAGTAACAGTAAGAATAGCATTTATTCAGGAAGGATAACATTCTCTGTCTGGAATAGGATTGGAATATCTGTTCATAAAATATATATATATATTTTTTACTATTTGTGGCAACAAGCTTTAAAATGAACTAGAAGCTATAAAGAGTAAGTCTTTCAATGCCAGACTCAAAAAGAAAAAAAAAAATAGAATGAAAATACAGAACATTTAATTGTGGCTGGAATATTTACATAATGTAGCTTAGTTCTTTTTTAAACGGTTTTACTGTAATGACAGTAACCTTTTGACCTCTTTTCCATGTGGAAAAAGTAATCATCAATATTAAATGTGGCTCTATACGCTCAAATTCCACTTTAAATGGTTTATAGCTACAGCTTCTCTAGCAACCAAATATGAAAAAAATATTTGTTTTTAATTGTCCAACATTAAATCATAAAAGCAAGCAAATCTGTATGATTAACTCTGTGACCACGCTTTATTTTCCAGTGGAATATTATTCGACTGTTTCGCCGTATTTTGCCAGCCAGATTAAGTAATTGCAATGAATGCCTTCATGCAGATTTACTCCCGCCTCCTTAAAAGGCTTGATCTCACCCAATTTCTCCTGAGTTTTCTGCGTAATGGAAAGGCACTTACCGAAACAGTGACATTTCCCTAAGGAGACCTTTCAAATGGAAGTCAACAAGTGTCAGGGACAACAAGTGCAAAAGATGAAAAACAGCCTGCGCCTTCACTAAGAGGAATCGGCGAGAAGGAATTTCGATGGCGGGGGGGGAAGGAGAAGATGTCAGGTGGTGGATTTAGATGAAAGACTCAAAAAGCAAGAGGTTAGGAAGAGAAACTCTAGCTGGCATAGAGAGCGTCAGCCGGCAACAATGGAATCGATGGTGTGATAGCTGTGAGGGAGAACAAGAAAATATGGGTGGCAGCAAGAGGATGAAAGGAAATTACAAAAAAAAAAAAACTGTAGTGCAAAACACTCAAAGCGAAATAGAAAGGGTTATGTAAGGGAGCCGGGTGGGTGTTCTCTCATTTTATGGATTAATAGATAACTATTGAGAGAGCAATAGGCATCAATCAACCAAACCTGCATTCCGCATTTTTATTGTCCATTGTTCTCCAAAGGTTTTATTCATGTCTTTTTTTATATGATCTGCATTCGCTGTGCCAAGACTTTACTACAATAACAGGTAGATCAACCGGGCCATTAGGCAGCCTTGAAAACATTAAATTAAAACGGTTTTACAGGTTTAATATTGTCCAAGTCTTCTGTCAGAGTTTGCTGTGAAAATGTGCACCTTGTAGAGTGTTCATTTGTTCCCCGCTCAGACGTTTCAGCTCGAACCAGATCTAATAGGAACATATTTATCTGATCAATACAAGAAGCGGTTTTGAAATGATTCTTTCAATTCATTACGGGGGAAAGAGACATGCAAACCAATCTGCATGTTGATCTAATAAGAGGGCTGTGCCATCGCTGCCTACAAGCGTTGGACGCAACTGGCAACAATTGTTACTTTATTTCACCGTGGAGGCATTTGACTCGTTTTTCAGTCACAGAATTGTTTTAAATGAAGCCACACAAGAGTTTTCAAGCGTGACCGTCATTTTCAAGAGAATACCACTGCATCTCAATTCGATTTAGGAGTGGACTTTGACTAGCCTGAGCTGAAACCTTCACCTCATTCAGAACTGTAATTGCTGGTAAGCTTTGGATAATTGTCCTGCTGCAAAAATCATTGCACTTCTCTCCTCCAGACTTTTCCTGGCAAAGAGAGGAATTCATGGCTGCGTTAATTACAGAAAGTCGACCGGTTCCAGAAGAAGCAAACAAGAACGGGATACTTTCCTATAAGTGTGGGTGGGAGGCGGGATCATTAAGATCGTTTTAACAAATTTGAGACAAACCATTGT